CAAGGGAGGGGCTCGCGTGAGCAAGGCGCCAAAGGAAAGAGTTGCTGAAAAGCCCAACAGATGGACCCTGAAGGGGAGGGAGGGAGGGGGCCCGGGCGCGCGGAGGAAGATGGGCTGACCCCAGGCGGGGAGGAGACTCCAAGAGGGACCGGTTGCGAGCTGAAGGAGCAGTTGATCAAGCCATTTGAACTGAGTTCTTCCATTGCTCGATCGGGTTTCCTCGCCTTTCTTGGAAACGCACATTACGAGGGGTACCGAAGGAATATGTTCTGGAAGGCTGTTGCTGTAAGAGAAGACGCGGTTGGCGGGGCTTGGGACACGAACCGGAATCATTTATCTAGGCCTAGAAACAAAGCCAGTAAATGAAAGGAAAATGGCGGGAGGTGGGAGAGAGAAAAACTGGGGAAGGAGGTAAAACCACACACGTATTAGGAAGAGAGTTGAGTGAGAGAGTAAGAGCAAACGGCAGTCTTTCACTAAGCTCGTGCTTTTCAGAGCCACTAGATTCATCTCCTTTTTGGAAAAGATATGAATTCATGGCCTCAGACATCTGGCTGGTTAGTGCACAGTTTCTTCTGTTGGGGCGCAGGAGATCCTTTTAGATGAACTTGGGAAGAATTGCTGCCTCTTCTTTCTGTTGCAATTCTGTGGCTGCTTGAGAAGCAGAATTGGGAAGTCTGGAATTTCCTCACACAGGTGCAATCTCTACATCTCCTATCTACTGCTTGGAAATGGAGAGGATTTAGTTGCTTCTTTCTAAATAACCATACAAGTATTCTACTATTCCTGTAAAAACATAGCAGTTTACACTATTATTATTATTATTATTATTATTATTATTATTATTATTATTATTATTTTACAATGACAACCCTGAGAGAGTGTCTGACCAGAAGTCACTCAGTGAGCTTCCTGGCTGAGCAAAGGTTTGAATCTGAATCTGCAAGTTAAAGTGATTTCACAACATGCTTACTTGTAGGTAGCTAAACCATGGTTTCCTGAATTGGTCCAGTTGCCTCTGTTTGCTCAACATACTGAACCACTAGATAGCCACACATGGCTGGATTCACACAACAGGCTGAGTCACAAATTAACCAAGTTTTAGTTTAAGTTGTATGAATCCAGCCACTGGCTCTTAAGTGTTTTGCTACCTTGCTCTTATAGTCATACCTTTTTAGTAATGTTTAGGTTAGAGCAATTGCTTACGGAAGGGGGTGTTGGGTAACCAAGGGCACTGTGAATTCAGCAGTCACATTGCTTTGCTCTGAGGCCTCCACTACTTCCTATAAATGAGAGAACCAGCTTCCTCATTTCTTTGATTTATATTCTGCCTTACATTTAGGAGACATACATAGTGCTCCTTTCTCCTATTTTTCTCCCACAACAACCCTATGAGAAAAGTAGCTGACAGTGACTGACCCAATGCCATGGGTGAGCTTCCGTGTCTTAAGCTAGACTTAAACCTAGTTCTCCCGGTCCTAGTCCAAAACCTTAACCATTGCACCACTCTGGCTCTCAAGTTATATTTCCCCAGTGGAAAATGCTGTTACATTTTTACCAGTCAAACCAAACTCCTAAATCTATTTTAGGTTTGCAGTCTTATGTACACTTATTTGCAGCAAGTGAAATCAGCCCTGAAACAAGTGACTAAATGTAGGTTTTGCTAAACATCAGGAAAAGATATGTGTGTTTATACCTTTTTTTAAAAAGGTTGAGTATCAGAATATAACAAGTCTGGTGGAAATAATTTGAAATAGAAGGCAAAAGAAAGGAAGATCATTTAAACATTCATTGAACAGTCATGCCACAAAACTCCAATACATGTGTTATAAGCATCAGCCATCAATGTATCATGCCTTGCTCCCTAAGGATTTTACAGTGCTTAATTAATTGAGATATAAATGTAAGATATACACAGAGGGAACACTTACGATTCCCAGCAGCAAGAAGATACTGTTTAGAAAATTTATTTTCTGATCCTGAATACATTATGGGGAAAGAAGTACCAATGCTTTTGGAATTTGCTTTTGCATAATTCTATTTATCCAGTTTGTATCCTTTTTTTCTTTGAGGAGCTCTAGCGAAGGATCTGCAGTGCCACCTTGTTGCATAAGACGGGGAGATGTTATGTAAGTCAGTCAGCTTCCGAGCACATCAACCACGGCACTCCTAGCCCCCACACAAAGGTAGGCAAAGCCCAAAACTAACACTTTGGTGTTGCATTTTCAGGTGACCTTATAATTAGCTTAAAAAATAAACTTGGAAATAATACTCTACCCAAGATATAATTTCATACATATGATCTTAAGTTAATAGACGTGGAATTATGCTTGGGGTGGGCAAGAAGAAAGAAAAGGCACTTTCAGTTCATTTTACGTTAATTATTAGTGTATGTACTTTGGTATTATCTCTGCATGGCTTGGCAACTCTACAGGTTGCATGAGATCCCCGAGCCAAGTTCCCCAAATATAGTGCTACCAAATTTCAGTAGAAAACAGCCAGATTACAGCTATGGTATTTCTTGCTGAAAGAACAGGCATGTTGAGCTTCTGAAGTGCCTGTCTCACTTACTAGTGTAAAAAATAACTCTCCTAAATAACAGCCCCACGCAAAAAGTAGGGTGGAAATTGTAGCCCTCCCCTGTGGCCTCATAGACATCCAAAGTCTTCTATGATTTGCAACCAAGTGTAGACCTTGGATGCAAAATGATTGCCTACTTCTGGTCTCTGTTCACTGACTGAGAGTAGTTTTCCATGGTTTCAGATGAGTCTTTTCCCCAACTCCAGTGAAGTAAGGACCAGGAGATGCTGGTGATTGAATTGGTAGATTCCTTCATGTAAATCATGTGCTCTGTCTTTAGTCCTAACCCAAGCTGGGATTAAGCCTTCTGCTAAGCCATGTTTTGAATATGTTTTATTGATTAAATTACAATTAGGGTTGTAGTTTATGGTTTAAATTTAGTACACTGCATGAACCTAATCTAAGTCTTCACATTGGTTCTTCCATAATTTGTAAGGACCAGGATACTGGACATTCAGAATTGCTTACATTGGTACAGTCATACTGCCTGAAGAACTACATAATCAACCTTCTTCATAACATATAACAAAAAGAAAGGAGAATTATGTATTTGGCTGCAGTAGAAGTTATCAACAGTGGATCACCTTTACAACACCCATCAGTATTGTCTGTGGATAGAGGGATATCTGCTAATTCTTCCTGGTTTTAAAGGAATCCAACAGTAGGAAACGTGTTTGATCAATTGTAATTGATTTACCTCAGTAGTGTCACACAGACCAGCCAGGCAAAGTGGTAAAATTGATGGCATTCTAGCATTCAGGCTTCCAAATTCAGAGTTCAAATGTCATCTGGTGACTCTGGGTGGTTTAACTGTTGTTTCCCATCTGTAAAAATAGCCTTGGAATTTTAGCATGCTGTTATGTGTGGGCAAAAATGCAGATAGAGATAATAAACCAATTTGGTAAATTGCAAAGTGCTATACATGTGATTAATTATCATGCCAGGTTTTAAGTCTTATATTCCAAGGGGAGCATATCATATAAAACATGCTATAAATATCAATTTTCACAGTTCTTAGTGCTGTGAGCCAGGTTCAACATTTTTTATTTTGCAGAAAAGGGACTCAGATTCTTAAATGCGTTGCTGAGACCAAATGTTAAGTAATTAACACACACACACACACACACACACAAAAGGCACATTAAGGGGCCACAACCTCCCATTTGAAGCTTTTAAATGACTCCTCAAATCAAGAACACATAGAAGCATACTATACTTTAAACCAATATGCTGTTATTTGTGGTGTTAAGTTTAAAGTGAGCTTCTTCTAAAGAAGGGCATATTAGAAATCAGTTTTGTTTCAGTCATCAGATACTGCAGAAAGAACAAAAGACCAGGGGGAAAAGTTAACACCTTATATATTAAGAGGTAGTCAAGTCCACTTGACTACTGCATGTAAAGTATCTTCCAGAGATGTTGTACCTTAGAGACACAGGGTAGGCAAAAGTAATGAAATTGCCTTCATTAAAGGATGCTCTGTGCCTGGGACTCATTTGGATAGGTAGCAACAAAATTGCTTTGGCTTTCATAGAAATAAAATGCAGGAGATAGGTGATTTGAGTTTAGAACAAATTGTCTTGTGTTCCAATAGCAGAAGTATAGAAGTACAAAGAACCTTGTGAGCTGAGATTAAAATTTGTATTGATTCTGTCTTAAACTGACTATAGAAAGTGTTATCATAATTGTGATGCTGTGTTCAGGGATTATGCTGAGCCAAAAATGTGATCTTGGTTTAGTGTGTTGTAAGAGCATAGTTGATGTGGCTTATTCAACAAACTATAGCTGAGCTACTGGTAGTCACCATCCATGACTTTCCAAGGCAGGATTGGCCAATGTGCAAATATTTTCCCTGCTGCTCCCTGGAGGTGGGGAATGATAAGGAAGGGGGCTATAGAAAGGCTATGTGGTTGGCCAGTGTAGAGGCAGAAACCTTGGGCACTGCCCTGCCTCATAATTCTTTTGTTTGATTGCTTTGGTAGGGAGGAAAAAAAATAACACTGATGATTGTGCAGGGAGAGTGGCATGGTTGCTCCTCGATTCACACCTGAAGAGCTGCACTTTGGCTTCAGGAGGGAAACTTGTTTATTTAAAATGGAAAAAAAAAAAACTCCTCTCCTATGGGTGGTACGTGTCTTCCTCAATCTCGGGTCCTCTATCAGAGGCCTGGGAGTTTGAGGGTTCTGCGCAGTATCTTAGCTGTTCCTAGCACTGCATTCTTCTGGACAGAGAGCTCTGATGTTGTCCCTAGGATCTATTGGAGCCACTCTCCCAGTTTAGGAGTCAAAGCCCCAAATGCTCCTACCACCACTGGGACCACTTTGGCCTTTACTTTCCACATCCTTTCTAGTTCCTCCTTCAGGCCCTGGTACTTCTCCAGTTTCTCATACTCCTTCTTCCTGATGTTGCTGTCACTTGGCACTGCTACGTCTATCACCACCACTGTCTACTACCACGATGTCTGGTTGATCGGCCAGTACCTGCCTGTCTATCTATCTATATATATCTCCACCCATCTTGCTAAATGCCTTGTAAATGCAACTCTGGGAGGCTAACAGAAATTAAAAACAATACAATAAATAAGGAACAACCAGAGCAAAAAACTTACCATGGCCATCAAGGAAACCATTGCAACCAGCAAATGTGGGCTCAATTACTTTCCTGACCCCTATGGCAGGTCTTAAGGACTTTCTTAAAGGCCAGCAGCAAGTGAAATCAGCCAACTTAATCTTGGGTGGTATGGTGTTCCAAAGGACGGGTGCCACGTCAGAAAATGTTCTTCTGCCAAGGAGGTTTTTGTATGGCAGGAGTTATCCCACAGCTCCAGAGGGAATTCTTCCAACCTATCTATTTTCTGTGCAGCAGTTTTCCAAGACCTTTGCCATTCCTATGGTATGATGGTGACACAGTGATAGTGCTTGTCTAAGGCTGATGCAGCCCTTACATTTGGAAGAGTCTTAGCATCAGTTTTCAACTTGGAAAAGATATTCAGGGAATATCTTTCTTCATATGCAGAGCAGCACCTGAAATTGAGACATTTCATTTCTTAACTCAACTTTCCAATTTCATTTGGCAAGTTAATTTGAATCAGAGCTTTGACTCCTCACACAGAATAGTTGCATAGCCATAATGGTCTCTGATGAAACACAACACATTTAAAATATGTATTAGAAGGTTGTAAAGGGAAAACTTTTTCAAGACTTTGGATCACATCAACTATTTGGTGCAGTTTATATTTTCTTTTTATAATTTAATTCCCAAAATAAAATTCCAAAAGTTCCATGTTGTTTTCCCTCATAAAGTTATTTCTTTTTCTCTCCCAGCGTTACAGTACTGTATAGTACAGTTCAAAGCATTAAATCTTGTTATCTGTTATATTAAAACTGAGATTGAGCCATTTACCAATATTTACCTTTATAAAATAAGTTCAACATGGTTTCCTAAGGCAGCTCTGCATTGTTTGTATGTTTCATATAATAAGAAGATGACAGTTCAAGACAACATAGCAATGATTACCTTACATCTGTTGGCCTAAGGAAAAGGATGCTTTTCATTAGGAGATATATCAATCATTGCTGTAAATGTGAATTTTTTTACTCAGATTTCGCTTAACCTGTTATCTTCCATGTATATTGGGAATCTCAACCATATCTACTCAGGTTGGCTAGGAATTTTAGGAGTTCTAATCCCAATATATCTGGAAAACATCCAGTTGAAGAAGCTTGCCTTAACACTGGTCAATATTTCTGTGTAGGAAAAAATGTGATCACCACAAGTGGTTGTGCCTGTCATGCGTTCCATGCCTGTTGGAAAAAGGCATTGGCTGGGTTCATAGGTCGTGCTAACCCACAGTATGGTTTGTTTAGTTTTTGCATAGGATGTTGTGTAAAGCCAGGCATCATGGTATAGGTTATAGCTTAATGTGATGCCTGAACCCAGCCACGGTGACTTTTAAAACAAATCAGGCTTAAAACAAACTGTGGCTTAATGTAATGTATAAACCCGGCTATTGCCTAGGTCTCTGCACAGAGATCCACTTATTGGTTAAGACTGGAATTCTGTATGCACTTTTGTGGGATGAAATCCCTTTTGAATTCAGTGGGAGGGCTGGCTGTCCACCATCCTATTGTTCTTACTTAAACAGAAAACATTTGTAAGGAATATTCATTTGGCATGAGTTGCTCTTAGGAAATAAAAAGAAATGGCTAAGTAGTTGTTGAGCTTTGCAGAACTCTTGAACCACTGAAAAAGAACATACAGAGATCAAGATGTGGGACATATATAAATGTAACTTTTGACTTGAATTCTTTCAGAATGCTTGTCATTTAATATGATTTTTATTGGGCCAAAGGTCTATAGCAGTGTATCTCAACCTTGGCAATTTCCAGGCGTTTGCACTTCAACTCCCAGAATTCCACAGCCAGCATGCTATTAATGAGAATTGTGGGAGTTGTAGCCTGTACACCTGGGATTTGCCATGGTTGGGAAACACTGGCATAATTAATTGGTGTAAATTAACACAGGACACCTGCAACAGAACATGGCTGTTTAGTTAATGCATTAAAACACTTCATGATCATGTTGACAAATAGGCTTTGGCTGGAAAATATACAAATATATACAAATATATTCAACTAGTGCTAATGGGACTGAAACCACAACTCACTTGGAAATGAAGAGGTGGCTGAAGGTATAAATATGGCATGAAACTGATAGGACCATGGCTGGTGTTTCACCAAAGCTGAGAGCACTTTTCCCCACAAGGACAGTCTCACACACATTCTTTGAATATGGTAAGTGTGAACCATCTCTTGTGAATAAATGAATAGTTATTGTTTAGTTATTTGGCAAATTATACGTGATTAGGAAATAGAGTGTTCAGTAATGATTTCAGAGTTCAGAATGTGACACCCAGAGAGACAGATAACTAGGAGCAGAAAGCTGGAATTGGATAAGTCTGAAGATTCTTAGGTTTCCATTGTTTTGTGGGAAAGAGTCTGATTTGGGAATATGTTTGTTTCTCATATATTTTCTTGTGCATTTGTAAATAAATTGAAAACAAACAATTTATTCCCAGCGATCATTCTCATCCAAACAAAACCTAGCTATGTACTGTAGCACTACCTCTGGGCTTTCTACCAGTCAGGGAAAAAAAAAGGTACTTATATCTTTTAGGAGATTTCCAGTATTGAACATTTGTGGAAAGTCTTCTAATTCTCCAACATTGTTTGTAACAGGAGGGAACTCATTTATCACAAATTGCCAGTTTTTATTAATAAGATCCATTACTTGTGAAGCAAATAATTTACATGTGTAAAGGAATTTAGAGCTGGCACTGAGAAGTATGAGAGAGCCATTAAGGAAGGAGTTGGACATGCCAGAGATAGAAGCAAGCATGAGAAAGAAACTCAAAATACTCCCCTCCCCCCCCCGATTTTGTTTCGTATAAGGTTGGACAGGCTTTCAAGATTGTGTTAATAGATCAACAACAATAAAGGAACGTTCTTATAATCCCTGCAGTGTCTGTTTCTTGACCTGGCCTACCTTGACAAGGATAATAGCATGTAAAAATATAATAAAAGTCATTGTGCCATTACTTGAAATGCTTCATCAGGCTTGCCCAACTTGAGGTATTAGAGTCAGAGTTCGTGCACCCCTGATGGGCTTTCCTCTCTGGTGACCTTCCTTCAGAGCCCAGAATTCAATCTCTCATGGACACTGGAATTCTTGACTTCTTTCTTCAAGCACAGAGTCGGATTACGCAGGTTGCAATATTCTTCACATTTTAATTAAATGAATTAGTTGAAAGTACTCAAATTGAAGAAATCTGTATAAATGTCATCCCTTATAAAACTCAAATACACATCCAGATCCATCTGGTATATATTAATGTTTCTCCAAGATACAATATAATCTGTAAAATGGAAAGTCTACCAGAATCCAATGGAGCATGACAAACTTCTCACCAAAGAAGTATGGTAATTGGAGATACTGAAAGAAACAGTGACTACTGAGAAGCATAAATCAAAATAGTTTTTCCTCTCCCTTAGATGATTCTTGCAAACTCAACATCTTTTCCTCATGCTGAAGGCAAAGTTCCCTTCTTACCCACTGGACTGCAGATGGATTGCATCAATCCTCAAGCAATACATGTGGTTTCCCTTCTGACAAAAGCAGATGGCTATTCCCTTTAGTCAATTTCTGTGCTGTTGTTACCAGATGGCACACAAAATGTTTGGTATTCCAATGCAGAATGATCCAAGTCTCCTTACAAGACTCATCTGTACCCCTAAGTATCTGTCTGTTCATCATTATTATCCATCATATAAATAATACAACTTGATAGTTTATTATGGAATGTATGATGTTAAAGTCCATGTTGTTTTGTTTTCTTTTTACAGAGAAAAGTGTTACACTCTAAAAGACCAGCACAATAAACTTTCTCACCATTATAAAACCTCAAATATCCTGAATTTATCTTTAGAAATTTTAAAATACACAGATATTTGCTAAACCTAGCACATTTACCCATATTTACAAGCAATGGCACAAAACCTGACAACTGGAAATGCCCACATTTTGGTCTGACAGCAAATAAAACACATTTGAACTCAGCATGGCAACCATAACAGAAGTGTGATAAGAATAACATAAATATCTTCATAAAAGGGACAATATAAGAAGACATGACACTGTTTCCATGTCTTCTCACAAGGTCAGAGGCATTGGATAAATAAGGTATTAGGATATCTGCCCATCAAAAGTGCTGAAGGAAAGAGATTGAAAGGTCAATATGAAAGGCAAAATGTAAGCATTACAGTAGGAGAAAGGTAGGAAGTAGATGAAACTTGGAGACCTTAGAATCTCTGGCTAAGAAAAGCTATGGGACAAAATTGTATGTAACTCCATGTCCCAACTATTTAATAATTATTTCAGTGTGATAAAGATTCATTTAGTAACAAAAGAAATAACACAGGAGGTGTTTCGTCAGAATCTTCTTCCAGATAGAATTAAGAATGTGTCTTCCAGAATTAATAGTGTCAAAAGTACTGATGTAGAACCAAGTTGTAGCCTTAGATTGAGAAAGAGGAACCAAGTGTGTAGCTTCATTACAATCTAGTCATTCATGTCTGGTCTAGAGAAATTAAATCTCAGTGTTTTAAACATTTTGCAGGCTTCTCAAGCTTCATTTGTTATAGCTAATGTGAATGTATACACCAAACTCAGTCTTGGTTGCTTTTTGTGAGTGTGAGAGAGAGAATGAGAGAGAGAGATCCCATGAATGGAACAGGAGGACTTCTTTCTATCCAGAGCATGTACTAGCTAGCTTGAGTGGGCATCCAGGGCCTGAAGGAATTTTACATGAATTTTTTTCATATATTCCTCTGAACAAATGACAGCTATTATGGGAAGTAGGATGGAGGTATGCAAGTTTGTCTTACCCATAAGCATCTGGAACAACAAAATATAATGTGCAATCCCTGCCCTTTTGTACTTGTGTTTCAGTGTTAGATGCAAGTACTTAAGTCATGGAATTTGTGCTGTGATGTCACAGTGAATATTCTATCATTTGTTCTTTACCCATCCACCCTTGATGGATGCCTATGATCCCACTTTCAACATGTAACTTCTCTACTTCCTCCTTTTCCAACCTAATTTAAGGTCTGTAATAATGAGAAAAATCTGGGATCTCCATTCAGAGTCTTTTGCAATGCTGAGTATGGATGAATGGGAGGAATAAAGTGATGAACAGTAATTATTAATTTATTAATCAAGTATATGATGTTTTAAGCACAGAACAGAGAATCGCAGCTGATAGATCTTGCTCAACCCATGTTACAGATAGCAGCTTGAAGTGGAGATCTTTTCCATGACATTGTGTAGTTTGGCAAAGACTGGAATGAAACTCTTTTAGGTTCAATGTAACCCTATCAACGGGTATCAGAAATCACAATTCCAACTGCTTGAACAAGACGTTGTGTTATTTGTTCCTTACCAATTTTTGGAAGGCTTATCTTCCGGTTACAAGAGCTCAACATTCAGTTGATTATTGCAATACAAGAGCATGTTTGTGCATGTACACACCTGCCATTCATTTTCATGACGTTTTATACAGGGGAATCTCCCAGTAGATGGCTTACCTTGGGAGCATGTATGTTTGTAGGCATGTGCAGAATTTAGATTTTTCTTCTTGGGCCCTAGAAACATTGGTACCAATGCTGATGAACAAAGAAATTAAGAAAACAAACATCAATAGCAACCAACTGAGCTAGAATGCTTTGAATTTTTCTAAGGTGTGGTGATGTTTCTTGTTTTTGTTTTTAATTCTAATCTCAACATTTTACATATCCTATTTGTTATTACATATTATGTAACATTCACTACAAGGAATTCCTCAAGAATGCCATATACCCTGGAAACGGTGAGTATTCCATCTGTTCAGCAAACTCATCTCCTCCAGCAGACTAATAGCACACTATCATTAGGAAATGTTCTCTGGGGCTGTAGTCCTTAATTAATTTCATTTCAAATTAATGGGCTATGGATTAACTGAGAACCATGACAGTTCAGCTCAGAAATGTAAAAATGAGGCAAAGATAGAAAATGAGTTAAGGTTGGCAAGGAAAGTCAAAATCCAGTAGAAGGATTTCTTCAAATATATCAACAGCAAGAGGAAAACAAAGGACATAGTGGGATCACTGTTTGCTTCAAATGGAGAAATCTTAACAGATGGCCAAGGGAAAACAGAAATCTCATCTCCTATATTGCTTCTGACTTTATGTCAAAGGAAATGTTGATTTGAGCAGCATAGACTGGGAAGGAAAACAACAAGGAAGGGGACAAGTTGTAAGGATGTGGTAAAGCATCTTCTATGTGATTTGAATGCTTTTAAGTCCCCAGACCCTGCTGAAATGCACCTAAGAATACTGAAGGAACTGCCTCAAGAGCTGTTGGGCCTCTATCAATTAACTTTGAAGATTCCTGGAAAGCTGGGGAAGTGTCAAAGATCTGGACGAGACAAAATGTGGTCCATCTCTTTAAGAAAAGCGGAAAAAAAGAGGATCCCGATAATTATTTATCATTATTGCTTTATTATCTGCTTTAATGTCAATACTTGAAAAGATATTTCTCAAGAAGTAATGGTTCTAGATGATTTTCATCCAGTCGCCAACTTCCCCTGTCTAGTGAAAATTGTTGAGTAGGTGATCAGGCTGCAGTTTTCCCTGAAGGAAAAGTTGTATCAGGGGCCTTTTCAGTCATGTTGCAGGCTGGGATGTAGTACAGTGATAGCATTGGAGTTCTGGAAGAGCTGAGATGGGTGGGATGCAATCATCATGGTTCTTCTTGATTTCTTCTTGCTGTTGCTTTTTTTACCATCAATCATGGTATACTTCTGGACTGCCTTTGTGAGTGGGAGGCACTATTTTGTGGTGGCTCTCTTTTCTCTGTGGCCAGTTCCAGTCGGTGTTAATAGGAGGGGAAAGAATGAGTCTGGTGCCACAGGGCTCAACATTCTCACCCCTCCTGTTTAACAGCTTCATGAGGCTGCTGAGTAAGGTCATATATCAGTTCAAGGTTATACTGATCATACACCACTGTATATCTTGACCTCAAGCTGAGCAAGAGATGCTGTGAAAATCTTGTGCTAGTGCCTGTAGGCTATTGGGGCCTGAATGGGGAAGAACAGCTTCAAACTCAACCCTAGGTAAACCAAGTAGCTGTGGGTATTGGGACCACTGGGGCCTGGGGAACTGGATGGGATCACACTTCCCCATTCAGAAATGGGGCACAATTGGGAGGCTCTTCGTGGACTCTTAGCTCCCACTCAAAGAGCAGGTGGCTGTGGCCAGGAAGGTCTTTGCACAGATCTATCTATCTATCTATCTATCTATCTATCTATCTATCTATCTATCTATCTATCTATCACGAATTGATGAACTGGATGAACCCTCCTCATGGCCATTCATGCCTTGGTCACATTGCACATGGATTATTATGTGGTCTACATGGGGCTGCCCTTGATGACCATTCAGAAGCTGCAGTTGTTCCAGAATGCAGCGGCACACAAGCAGTAATGTGGCAAACCTTGGTATGTCTAGATAACATCTCTTCTTCGTGAACTGAACTGGTTGTCAGTAAGCTCTCAGGTGCAATTCAAGGTGCTGGTTATTACTTGTAAAGCCCTACATGGCATAGGACCTAGTTATAACCTTCTCCTGTGGTTTCTGCCTATCCTGTCTGTTCAGCCAGAGATGGCATGCTCTGGGCCCCATCTGAAGCAATGTCATCAGATGGGATCCAAAAAGCATCCCATCTCCATGCAGTACTTGCCTGCTGGAAGGGCATCCCCCCAGAGATTCTAATGGCCCCTGCCCCGTTCTCCTTCAAGTGAGCCTTGAAGACCTGGTTCTTCCCCCCACCCTTTGGGCCTGGATAAATGGAAGCCTCCTTTGGGAAGGTGCGTGTATGAGGCTTGTTTTGAGTTGTTCCCTCCAGGTTAACCATTGTGCTTTTTCTAGTTTGATTGTTTTTTATAGTTCGCTTTTATTGTGGTTGTTACCCAGAGGACAGACAGACAGACAGCAGATAGATGATAGATAGATATTGTAGTAAACAGTAAAGCAGGCTATTTGTAAGCATCTTGAAGACAACATCATGACTGCTAATAGTTAGTATGGCTTTATCCTAATTGGTCATGTGAGACAAATCTTTTCTTCTTCTTTGACACTAATTACTTTAGTGGACATGCTATGGATATAATCTATCTCATTTTCAGCAAAATTCTGACAAGGGTCCATATGACATTCTCACTGACAAGCTGCTAAAATGTGGTTTGGGTAAGATGGGTTTACAACTAGCTAATCAGGCTCAAAGAGTCAACATTTAATGGCTTTACACTGAGTTGGAGAGCAATAACCAGTGGGTCTTACAGAGATCTGTCTTGGAGCCAGGGTTATTCAACACTTTTATTAATGTCCTGGATAAAAGGGCTTGATGGGCTGCTTATCCAATTTTCAGATGACATGAAATTGGGAGGTTTGGCCAACGCTCAGGAAGACAGAATAAAACTGCAATCTCATCTGGACAGGTTGGAAGACTGGGCTAAGAGGAACAAGATGCCCTTCAGTGGGGAAAAATGTAAAGCATTATATTTAGGGAGGAGAAATATAGTACAAGCATACAAGCTGGGGATACATGGGTGGAAAACTATTAGAGAAGGACTTGGGTGTGGACATTAACAACAAGCTGAACATGAGCGGCTATGTGAGGTGGCTGCTAGAACTAAAGTAGTTCTGAGCTGCATCAGAAGAAAGATTGTATCAAAAGCACATGAATCCTTTATTCCACGCTATTCTGCACTGATGAGACCACTACCTGGAGTGTACACTTTATTTCCATAAGGACAATGACAGGATAGAACAGGTACAGAG